CATTGTAATTTCCTGCTTTCAATCAATTGTAATTTCAAACTTTCTAGCAATCAATGATCAAGTTTAATTCAATGCATTTCAATTTTGTGTTGTAAACTTTCTTTAAATTGTGATCAAATTTACTTTCGTCCCGAAACGACCGAGAACAGGCAGAAGGTAGTCTAGCGGAGCAGACTACTGCCGCACGGTGTCCCTTTCTGTGCTAAGAAGGAAGGTAACCAGTGAAACCCGGGTCCGCTAATGGTAAGGATGAAGATTATGGGTGTGTTTGAAACACATTATTTTGGAATAATGTATTTTGAAATTGTAGATTGATGGAAAATGTGTGGTTGGAAAAGAAGGAAAAGTTACTGATGTGATAAAAAATATTATTTTATTGAAAAATGTGTAATTAAAAAATGAGTAGAAGAATGATAATAAAAATTTTGACGTGGTTCAAAAATGGGCTAGGTAAAAATTTGGGACCCGTGACTAGTGTCACGTTTCAATTGATTTTGTGAAATAATGAGTTTTTACTTTTTATTTGATAAGCGATTCTCTTATGACGTGATTAGCTGGTTTGTCTTATAATGTGATTTTCTTCATAGCCAATCTCTAATTTACTGTGTATGGATGACGAAAAAAAATTCAAAAAAATAATATTACACACAAATCTATAACTTTTCTATAACTTTTCATAACTTTTCCACTACACATCTATTCCAAAAATTTCATTCTCCAAAAAATGGATGTCAAACAGTAAAATCTCAATTCAATTTTTTCAATTGTATCTTCAAATTTAACTAGAGACGAACATAGTTCAATAAAACATTGTGTGCATGAAATATAACATTTTAGGTACAATTTTCCGTGTACATTAAACTACCTCAAAACTTGGGTTTCACTGTACTCCTATTGGTCTTACTAAAAAAAAAATGAATTAAAGTTTAACTTAAAGTCAATAATTAATTTTAACCACATATTTAATTATATTCAAAAAATTTAATCACACATTCTATCATTTTTTTAATTAAAATCTAATTTTAATTAACTAAACATGGGCTAAATAAGTCATTGTTTGTCATCCTTTAAAATTTTAAATTATTTTCTACAGTACCGTTTTCTACCATATATTTACACAATAAAATATTCTACACATAAATTAATAAAATTTCTTTACTTTTTAATCACACATTCTTTATCAATCTATTATTTTATAATACATTACAAGAAATTAATTGCTCTCAAACATGTCCCAAGTACCAAACCTAATACTGGCTGGCTCCTCAAATTCACGGGTGAAATCGAACGGGGAAAAAATATTGAACTTTTTGACTGTACCTGCACAGCACGTGCACGTCCAACACACTGCCCATACGCACACTCGCGTTCTGTATATTGATATTTTCTTTTGATAAATAGATATTCTCTCTCACACACAGTCTAACAGTCTCTCCTCAAAAACAGCACAAAACAAAGGAAGATAAAGATCCAAGATAGAATGTGTCCACAATTTGCCTAAAAGAAATTGTACATTAAGGAATAATTTCCAATTTTAGCATTTGTAAATTGAGGTGCACGATGTTCAGTCTCAGATTGCTCTGGATTTTGCTACCTCTGTTCTTACTTCTCAAGCCTTCTTTCTCTCGAGGTCAGCTCCTCACCCAGATAGACAAAGAACTATAGACACTATTGATTAGTTTACTGCATAATTTTTAGTGAAGTATTAATGTGTTTCCGCCTGTTCAACTGCTGTGCTTGATTCTGGATTTTTCTGTACTTTATCTTTTTGGGGTTCAGTGTAGTTTAGTGGTATACTTGTTTAGTTTCTTGAATGTATATGGTTTGACTTAGATTACACTTTGCTGGGAACAGTTCAATTGGATTTTATGGAAGCTTGATTTTGTTGTTTTTCTCTTATGCTGAATTTGAGATTACAGTTTCAAATTTTGTCCAATTTCAAGCCTTTAATTTGAAAATTTTAAGTATAATCCTTCATCGTAATAGTGGGAGAAAATTTAGCCAGGAGATGACGTTGAAGACATAATAAAATATTAACTGTCTCAGCTTCGAAAGCAAATGAAGTTCTAGATTCACGTATGGATTTATGAAAGATTTCACGTATAGGAGTGTTGAAAATAGAAAATGCAACAGTTTATTAGTTTTAAGTTAGATAGGCTTTCAAAGATATACATACCTACCTAAATGATAAAAATTGAAATTTTCTAACTTTTAGACTAATATCATTGAAAGAAGATAAATTAAAATACAATAAATCACATTTTTTTTATGCCTAAAATAAGTGCATTATTTTTTATGAATTTGCAATGCAGTCTTCACACATTTAAAAACTTACATGTCCTTTTTGTATTTGAGTTTTTAGTGCTACAAGTATCTGGTGATTGCTGAAGTTCCTTTTAAGCAACTCGGCTCTTTTTATCTTCTTCTGTAGTATATGAATCCTTATTTCATTTCAGGGCCATATGCCTTGCGAATAAGCTGTGGTGCACGTAATGATGTTCACAGTCCTCCGTCAAATGCTCTCTGGTATAAGGATTATGCTTACACCGGAGGAATACCCGGTAATGCAACCCTCCCGAGTTTCATCTCTCCTAAACTCAAGACGCTTCGTTCTTTCCCTTTGTCTGAGGGTCCTGAAAACTGCTACAATATAAATAGAGTTCCACATGGACATTATTCGGTGAGAATCTTCTTTGGATTGGTTGCAGAACCCAGTTTTGACAATGAACCTTTATTTGACGTTTCTGTTGAAGGAACGTTAATTTATTCTATGCCATCGGGTTGGAGTAATCACGATGATGAGCGAGCTTTTGTTGAAGCCTTCATATTTCTTAAGGATGGCACAGCCTCTCTTTGCTTCCATAGTACTGGACACGGAGATCCGGCAATACTTGCAATTGAGATTCTTCAAGTTGATAACAAAGCATACTATTTTGGTCCGAGCTATGGTCAAGGGGTGATCCTTAGAACTGATAGAAGACTCAGTTGCGGGTCCCGTGATCCAAAATTTGGTGTTGATTATAGTGCGGACCGTTGGGGTGGGGATCGATTCTGGAATTCAATCCAGACATTCGGCGAGAGTTCCGATCGTGCAATATCTACCACAAACAGCATCAAGCAGGCCTCGAAATCACCCAACTTTTATCCTGAGGCTCTTTATCAAACGGCTCTTGTTAGTAGTGATAGTCAGCCTGATTTAGCATACACAGCTGAGGTCGAACCTAATCGAAATTATTCCATTTGGTTGCACTTTGCAGAAATAGATCCTTCAGTTACTGCAGCTGGACAAAGGGTATTTAACATCTCAATAAATGGCGATATTGCATTTGGAGATGTAGACATAGTGGGTATGGCTGGGGGCATTAACAGTGCCCTAGTGCTGAATACAACTGTTGCTCTTAGTGGCAGGACTTTGACAATAACTATGCATCCTAGAAAAGGGACTCACGCCATAATCAATGCCATTGAGATTTTTGAACTTGTAATGACTGCATCCAAAACATTACAAGATGAAGGTACAGAAGACTTGTTCTCGTATTTCTCACATATAGCATGTTTGCTAAGCTTAAAATTAAAGGGATTTTTCTGACAGTATGAAGAGTTATACTACCAAAAAAAAGCCCCTTTTAAGCTTACCCAAATATGCTAATAATACTTTGCTTTTCTTTCCACGTCTTTTTGAATTGTGGATTTTGCTACTTGTACGTAAAAAAATGTACATAATGGATTACATAATATGGTGTGGAGGGAAAAGATTGGATGAAAAAGTTGTTTGTGTTTTAAATTGACAAATGGTAGAGTCTCATGGCGTATTATGTAATCCATTATGTAAGATCCTTGAATTATACTGGACACGAAAGATGATTATAAAATATTCTAGGGAGACCATATATAGATGAGGATAAACATGACTAAATAAAAATTAAAGAAAAAAATGTGAACAGTCTGTATTCCCTGCATGTATGTTTCTCTTAGCATGCCTTGCATACATTTTTTATGCAGTAATCATAAAGCTAGAGTAATTTTTGGTTAATGATGGTTGCTTCCCATGCTGGGCAGATGATAATTAGTCTTATGAGATGGGGTCCACTGTCTCCTCCCTCCAATTTCTTCTTCTTGCACAGTTCAAAAAAACCCTCTGCTCCTCTTTGTCATGATGCTATATTTGCTCATACCTTTACTTTTTACTTCTGTTATTTCAGTTTGTAGATCATGCCTGTATTTTGATTAGAACTTCACGTCTAACTTTTATAAAAATGACTTTCTTTTCTTATTTTAGTCAGGACTTTGCAAAAATTGAAAAGTGCACTTGGACTTCCTCTCCGATTTGGGTGGAATGGTGATCCTTGTGTTCCTCAGCAACACCCTTGGAGTGGAGTAGACTGTCAGTATGACAGAACTATCAGTAAATATGTTATTGATGGGCTGTATGTTCTTGTTCTCTTACTGGACTTTTTAATTATATGAAGAAATTAAGGGAACACAGTTATTAGGAAACGTAATGATACTATAGATACCATAGTTGTTAAACCTGGTCAAGTGACTGGACCACTGTTTTGGGTTAAGTGGTTGCATCAAACGGTTAGCTAACAATTAATCAATTAAGAAAGAAGCTACTGGTTAGAAAAGGTAAAGAGATCGCGAGTTGAATGTCAAAAGTTTTAGTTCTCACCATATTAAAATGTTCCCATGCATGCTTCAAATGTAGAAGCTTATTTTTACAAGTGAAGTAACGAGTTTATAGTCGTTTCTTTTTGTCAATATCATAATAATTCTTATCAGGTACCGTGTAACACTTTGCTTTAATTGTAACCTGATTTTATGACCACATGGCTGTCTTTTCCATACCTTTTATTTATATGTTTTGTTTGATTCTTTTGCAAGGTCAGTGGTCTAGACAACCAAGGTTTGAGGGGTTCCTTACCTGAGGACATATCCCGACTTCATCATCTCCAGAACATGTAGGTCAATATAGACTCATGCCAGTGAAGTTAAATTATTGCAAGTGAAATAATGAACTTTCATCAAGGATCCTCTCATGCATGTCAGTTTTTTTCCTCAAGTTACATCAAATTTTAATCTTAAAGACAGGCCACTCGGTAACACGAAGATGTTTGCAAATCCTTTGATCTTATAGTAATCACTAAACCTTTTATTATCCCCTTGCTTCTGGTACTTATCTTATCACTGTGTGCGCGTGTGCAAGTGTTGTTTTTTTTGCCCCTGATAAACTTATATTACATGCATGGCTAACTTGATACAGAAATTTGAGTGGGAACAGCCTTCATGGTTTCATTCCTTCTTCACTTGGAACAATCGCAAGCCTGGAGATACTGTGAGTGAAGTTTACTGTCTATCTATCGACTTCGAATTGATTGATTTCTGTATATTGTGATGCCTCACGTAAATATATATAAGTATGCTGTTCCTCCCTCCCTCTCTCCCTCTTTGCACTTACCTATATAATTTGGAAACTTGTATTCATTTGAAGTCCATTGCATGATACAAAATCAATATAAATGAAGATGAGTAAGTAAATATCATGGAGCGTACCTTTGATTTTCTTGGACCACACAAGTATTTGTCACCTAATCAAATCTGCTCATTCCTGGTTCACTGCTTCTGCACTCATGATATTCTAGCTTCTTTGTAGTAAAGAATGCCTTCCTCCATGGGATCTAAGGTTTCTTGGATCAATTTCAAGTAATCTTAGTTTTTAGGTGGGAGAGTTAATATTTTGTCAATAAATCTTTTTTTTTTCTCTCAAATGGGCAAACTGGGAAGAATATCCTTATTTCATGAGCGAAATTTATCTTCCATGTCCCAAAGAAATTCATAGGTCGATTGAGGTTTCTGGTTTCTCCTACTATGATTGTTGCCAAAACACAGAAACCTAGTGCCCCTGATTCCCCACCTGCAATGGCATATTCAAAATACTGGAGAGCAATGGGAACCACCTTAAATGGACCTGTCAATTAATATTCCTGAGATATAGTTATAGAGGTCAACAAATGGAATGTGGAATGTTGATATTGAAGAAAATTAATATATCTATAATATATTAAATATCGAATCAAGTGAAAATCATTTTCTGGACGATTTTAGCCCTACTACAATTTAATTATTTCAATAGTACACTTACTTTTCGTTTTTCAATATACATTTAATTGAATATTAATTATTAAACATGCACGCAAATAAATAATTGAATTGTACGAGAACAATCAAATTGATTCATGAACATGGAATTTAATTAATTTCAATCAATGAATATAGAAAAAGAATAATGTATATACATTTAAACAAAGGGGGTGTAAGTGAACCAACATGAAATTTAATTAGTTTGAATTAATAGATATAGAAAAATAAAAATTTATATACATTTAAACAAAGGGGGGTGTACATGAACCAACATGAAATTTAATTACTTTGAATAAATGAATATAGAAAAAGAATAATTTATGTACATTTAAGCAAATGTCGTTATATCATAGATAAAATGAATAATATTTAAATTAAATAAATGTACATGAACTTGAATAATTTATCTACTCCTATAATAATTGAATAGCTCCCAAATTATATGATCTTTAATAATTTATATACTCCTAGAATAATTTATGATAAAATGAATAATCTTGAAAATAAATATGTTATCATGAAGTTGAATAATTTATTTACTCCTAGAATAATTAAATAGCTCACAAAATATGTGTACACAAAATTGATGACTTAATGTTATATTTAATATATCAATAAATAAATGTTAATTAATATAACATGCACATACATAAATAATTGACTTGTAGTATTTCTAGAGTAATTGAACAGCCCCCAAAATATATAAAGTGTACATGCATGAACTTGAAGAATTAAGGGTCTGTTCTCTTTACCATTTTCAAACCATTTTCTGTTTTCGATTTTTCAAAACAGTGAAAACGCACTCTTTTCCATTTTGGAAAACGCGTTTTTGAAAATAAATTAAAAATTTACAAAGAAAACACAAAACGACAAATTTGTCGTTTTGAGTGTTTTCAGTTATAATCAAGTCAAAATTTTCAAAACACGTTTTGGGTGTTTTCAAAGCAATTTTTCAAAATGCCAAAAAGAACACATTTTCAACAATCTCAAAATACGAAATCCAAAATGAATTTAAAACTCAAAACTCATTGTATAAAAAGTTCATTTCACATAAACAGTTTTTTTAACTATTTTTTATATTCACTGATTTTCAAATATCATTTTTACAATGTTTATAAAGCATTTCAAAATAACGTGCAACACACGTTTAGTTGTGACTAGTTTCTTTAAATGTGGTAATCCAAATGTGGCTCTCTGGTACTATAATTAGTGGAACTGTGGAAGTATGTATTTTAATTTTCTTTACAAAAATAGTTGCTTTCTAGTTCAACAAAATGCTGATGGAAGATGTGCATGACAGGGATCTCTCATACAACTATTTCAATGGATCTATTCCTGAAAGCCTTGGGCAGTTAACCGCATTACAGAGACTGTAAAAAATTTCAACATTTGATTCCCTATTAAATAGAAATACAGTTTAGACGGCTCTAATATATTATTTTGTTGTACAGGTACCTGAATAGCAACTCCCTTTCTGGAAAAGTCCCAGCTGCACTTGGAGGGAGGCTCTTGCACAGAGCTAGCTTTAAGTATGTTCTTGACATGCCAGTTTTCAATCACCGCAAAATTCTTATAGTGATAGATGTTGGACTCCTTTTTTATCCTTCAACTAAATTGTATGCCTGCAGTTTTACGGATAACAAAGGTCTTTGCGGAATACCTGGACTACCGACATGCAGAACCCACCTTTCTGCTGGTGCTAAAATTGGCATTGGGTTAGGTGGATGTGTGACATTCCTACTCCTTGTCACATGCTTAATGTGTTGGTATAAAAGGCGGCAAAATATTCTCCGCGCTCAAAGAATCGCAGGTAAGCATGTAGATTTCAATTTGAGAAAATTGCATCCGTTGTCCAAAAAAAATAAAAAAAATAATAATAATAAAATAAATAAAAATGGAGCAAGTTGGTCTTCAAACTTTTATTATAGTTGTCTTATTATCCATACTGAGCAATGGAAAATCTCCAAATCTCGGTTAAATTGTCATGTGGCTCATGAAAAACATGGCTAATTTCACTTCAAATTTTAGGCACCCAAGTTAGGAAACAAAATTTAGTATAATAAAGTTGGACATGTGAAAGTCACGTGACTATTTTAAAAAAATTTGGACAGTTTTTTATGTTGTGAGAACCAACTTGCTTCTCAGACATTAGGTTGAGGACAAACAGTGCTATTTTCCTTTCAAATTTCCGAACCTATGGCTATGACTATAATTGTGATTGTGGTTCGATAAAATTTATGCATATTGGTTCCATATAAGAGAGTGGTCTCTTGACTTTGTTTCTTTTTTGTTTTTCTCAGCGAGAGACGCTCCTTATGCAAAAGCAAGAACGCATTTTTCTCGTGATGTGCAGATGGCTAGACACCACAGTCACGAGCATGCTCGAACAGCAGACGAGAATGGGCCTAGCTTACTTTCATGATTGATTAACCATGGCTTTGAAATGCAAGCCAAATTTGCCCATATTTTGTGGTAACTTGTGTACATCAAGAAGCGATCCCAGGACACATGTCGTGACATTTCAAATGATTTTAGCTTCACAAGTTCTATACCTTGAAGGTTGGTGCTGAAAGTGTCCATTTTGTATTCCTAAGAAGATATACCTCACATTTTGAAGAATGTTGTTGTTTCTAGTGGTAGAAGTGTAGATGATGTAACTCATAGAAATGGAGATCATAATGTATTTGCGTCGTATAAACATTCACCACGTATGTGTATCTTTTGGGTGTACGTATTTCACGCTAGTCTTTGTATGGGAGACAATTGGCAATTGTGATTTTATTTAGTCACTCACGTGAACCATCTCACTCGGTACATCTAACTATCTAAGCCTCGTATGATATGTAGATGTACAATAAATGATATTTTGTGCTCCGCTCATAATTGCAAGTTTATAGGTTCGCTAGTAGTTTAGACGTGTGAAAATATATTGCGCATGTTAATAATAATATTTAAATGATATACATGCTTATCTATACCTCCACTCCAACAATCAACCATGTGTCATCTTTTATCACTTTTAAACTCCCTTGGGAGACTCGGGGCAAACAACTCACCACCAAATCGAGTTAAAGAACTCCAATGCTAAATTACCACAAGCCTAGATTTTATATTAGAGTCCTACATTAATCGGTGATATTTACACGATCCACTTAATAAGGGAAGATCAATTATCCCCTAACAAACTGGTTTTGTTAGGTTGAGTTAAGTCTAACATCCTTTTTAATATTGTATCAGAGCATATCCAGTTTTGCAATGTTGGGTGCACCCAATATTGATTTGTTCACAGTTGATTAACATGGTCCACGCTGTGCGTGAGGGGCGTATTAAAGTTCCACATTAGTTGGTGATATTGACACAATCCACTGAATAAGGTGAGGACTATCTTCCTCTAACAAGCTGATTTTGTTAGGTTGAGTTAGACCTAATATCCTTTCTAATAATATGGGGTTAAATGGTGGTGGTGGATGCTCACAATCTGCATTGTTGAAATAAGGGTGCCGGGCCGGGCCGGAATGATGGGTACAATTCTTTTTTCTAATAATTTTGTCAAATTTTAATCCTGGTTTGGACATTTCACTGTACAAAGTATTGATTTTGAGCCTCTAAACTTGTGGGAAGAACAGATAAACCTTTCTGTATGTTATGATGGTGGTGAATTATGACTGTGTCGTGGCATTATGGTTTTTCTATTGAGCAATGATGATCAATTATTGTTGGAAAGATTGTTTAGGGAGGTCCAGACTCCACTATAATTTGTATCTTCTTTGTCTCTTTCCACTGGTATTTCTTTTATTATGTTATGCTATAGTTTGATCATTGATGAAAGTTCAATATGGCAAATTTGTGAAAGTGACAGTGAGTAGTGTATTTCCTGTTTCACCTTTACCATTTATTTAGGCTAAAGTTGTGGTATTGAAGTGAATCACCGAACTTTGAGTCGTACAATAACGAATAATTGCAAGAAAAGCNTAGTAAACCCTTAACTCTAACCCTACACATTAAAATTGATTAGGTAGTATGGTTGTATTATTACTCTAATTACATTTCTTATTTACTATATAAGAATAAACTTTGAGTCATGTCTAGTGACTATGCTAGTAAGAGTTGTGGGGAAGAATGAAGATTGACCTATGCTAGTAAGAGTATTGACCTATGTTGATAATATTGTTTGTTAAATTCGAATTTTGCATTTGAAAGTTGGAATATTGTTTGCATTTTCATTTGAGATATTGTTTGCTAGATTGGCTTAGTATTGTATTTTTGTTTTTATTGACTTTTCTTTATAATTTTTTTTTTTCAATTTGACGATTGGAATTTGGACTTATAAAAATAATTTATTTTCATAGTTATTAATCGAATCGAACCAAGATACGAATTGAACCGAACCGAACTTACTTACGTAGTTATGGTATGGCCAAAAATTTGATGGTGCGATTATGGTTTTGGCCTAACCGACCCTAAACCGAACCGTTGTCATCCCTAAAGCAGCCACGGGGTCGCTATGCGGCTAAGATTCGAACCCCACATTTTTCGTAAATTGACTTTTTGTAAATAAAATAAAAAGAATTTGCTTTGCTATAAAATATGGTTGCTTAATGCTTGAATTGTAATGCTGATTTCCAATGCACTCACGTCATTAATCATATTTAACATAATTCATGATTTTAACATGTTGCAACAAATTAAATATTATTAATACAACTACGGGTTTTGTAAAATATATTCAATAGTATTAAGTAAGATTGTTCAATTGCGTTTTAAATTGAGTGTCAAACAAATATATATACGTATACGGTTCTGAAATATACATTAAATAAATATATATTCAAACAATAACTTTTAATAATTATACTATATTTTAATTGTATGAAATGTTCATAACCTTTATACATTATCGCGTTTATGTCTCAAACTTTTTTCATCATATTATTATTATTATTCTCAAACTTTCCAAATTTTTATTTTTTTAGATAAGAGTAAAAAACCTCATTTGTCCATATTATCGGTTCTAATGTATCTTATGTTGTAATACCATGCATGGCAAATTATCTTATGTTGTGGTGGAGAAGAAAATTGCATTTTTGTTAATAAAAGAAAAAATTGATCATACCACCCGACAAGTTATATCTTTTAACGAAGAGATTTGAATACCTGAACTTGCGCATAACTTAAAATTATTATAATGCGAAAGGCTTATGGCCAGTTAATATAAGATCATGGTACGGTACCCGACAATGTTACCGTTAATAGAAAAGTGGAATGCCCGATAATATATATTTGTAGAAAAAATTATTTGTTCGTCGTATTTCTAAATAAGCAAAATGAACAGAAAATATTAAAGTTAAACAAAATATTTTCCTATGCTAATAGAATATTTCAACAGAAATCTAATATGCTAATTAATTAAAAAATTAAAGATAAGAAAAGAAATAACATGACCGACCAACGAATTGCTAATATATATAATTATTTGTATATATCTCATCCAAAAAAATTTCTAAATTTACACAAAAAATAAAATTATAATTAAAGTGACTGTTTGAAGAGAACAATATTTATTAAAAACAAATACTGCATACATTACAACTTATAAGCCAAGAAAACAGTAGTAATTACATTATTTCAAAGCTAATCCCCACTGGCGCCAAACCTCCTCCGGTGGAGGGCGGTTGAGATCAAGATCGAGCGCATTCCGACGGGCCTCAACGGCCCGTATCCTCTGCAATTCCCCATAGCCTCTGGAAATCAAACTTAAGCTAAGGTGGAGACCCAGCTGAGGCGCCGCCGGAGGAATTTCGAACCTCGTGGGCCGGCTGTGAGAAGGAGCTGCAGTGAATTGGCGCTTCTGGCGACAAAACTCGACCGGAAAATTTCTCATCGGAGCAAGGGTGAGATCCAAAGGAGATGACTCCACATGAGTGTTATTATTCTCATTATGGACAAAACTTTGCATGGTACCGTGGAACCTTCTTGTAGGGAAATTGTTCTTGGACTTGGCACCGTGAAACCTCCTGGCGGCAGAGTCGTAGACTCTGGCAGCGTCCACTGCCGTGTAATAAGTACCCACCCAGATGGTGGACTTGGTGGCCGGATTTCTTATCTCGGCCACATATTTTCCACATCTCATCATTCTCACTCCTCGATAATGAACCCCATTTACCTCCCCACTGCCTCTCATTCCCAATGGTCTCCGTGCCATTATTTACACAAACTATATTGCTCCCTGTGTGTACTTTGAGAAATTTACGGCTAGGCCAGGAGAGTAGAGTGAGGCTGTATTTACTATTTATAGGTGGCCGCTTTGGGGTGGGCCCGGGAGTGTATAATGTGGGACCCATGAGAGTACGTGGCTGGTGGTTGCATTGTTATATGGACACGTATTTCTATGTATCTCATTGTTGTAAAAGCATAATGCTACTTACAGTCGCTCACTGCAGCAGTCGCCCTATGTGGCACACACATGTCAAGTGTGTATTTTATGCATTAAATGTGGTAAAAAACTAACACATTAATGCATCGAATAATTATATGTCATGTGTGTGCCACATAGGACGACTATTGCAGTGAGCGACTGTAAATAGCATTACTCGCTGTAAAATATGCATGGCAAATTGTCCAAATGAGAAGCTAATCAGAATGAATAACGTTTGAAATCCTATATGTCACGATTTTAATAATTAAATAAAAAGATACAATCAAATGAATTTCCATATTCGTAATGAATGTTGTCATCGTGGACTACGAATAACATTATTCAAATGGAAGAGGTGGATCTTGTTTTATTCTTTCTAAAAAAAAATTTAGGTTCTAATTTTCATTAAAAAAAAAAATCAATGAAAATTAATGTGTAAAATTTGATTTTTGCTCTATTTTCTCCTGTTATTATGGAATTACATTACAATATTGAGAAAATTGTATGAAAACTATTAAATATAGAATAAAAAAATTGGAACGATAGTAGTAATTAAAGAAGTTAGTCATTGGATCTAACAGTTTATGTCGTTTAGCGGACAAACTGAATGTCTGAGAATCTTCAATAGTGTGTTGTGTCTGATGATAATAGTAAAACGATAAACAAGTCAAACAAATTGTTTAAATAAGATTTATTTGATCGTATCGGAGAAGTTGAATATTCGAACTTATTCGATTACTATTTGTTTTAGAATCACGTCACCCGACATTTTTCTATCATTATTACGTAAACTAAATGTCTGACAATATTGGATTAAAAAATAAAAAATAAAAACACACCACTGTTTTAAAAAAAAATGATCATACAAAAAACTCACATTTTACCTTAAAAAGTTGAACAATTTAACGATGAATATTTAGTATTTATAAAAGACATTTTTGAAATGAAAGAAAGAAAGAACAAAAAAATGGGGCAAAGAGAGAGAGAGGGAATATTGCATGGGGTCCAAAGCGAACGGGTGACAAAATCAAATAGAACCATTTAGCTCACCGCTTCATGACGATCGGACTTTAGAGAGAGAGAGAGAGAGAGAGCAGTGGGCCGTCATTTTATTACGACCTAGGATGATTCATTTTTTAAATTTTTTCTTTGATATAGCTAAGAATTAAAATCAGATTTTTAATAAATTTTGATATAAATCAATAAAATGTGTGATTTAAAAATTGTGAATTCAATAAAAAATATAATTAAAATGAATTGTTGATTTTGATTTGTATAAAACAAATACATAATCTACTTAATGCATTGAACATGAGTTGGTCAATAAGAAACTACCACGTATGCATACCAAAGCTTCACGTTTTTTATGAATGAGTGAAATTTCACTGAATCTCAATCTATTATAGTTGCACAATTGATCCTTGCTCGGGGAATACATTCAAATATTCATTAAGCCCTCGTTTTAATTTTCTCGAAATACCCCAATTTGCCTTCAATAGTCCACTGTAGTTGGAGTACTCACTGTAGAGGGTAGTAAAGGGACTGGGGTGTAGAATGGACAACAATCAGGCTCTTTGATAAAAGTTATTGAAATTTGTGGTTGAAAAATTGTGGAATTAATTAAATATGTAATTAAAATTAATTGTTTACTTTTATTTAAATTAAAATCTGAATTTTCATCTGTATCAAATTGGGGTTAAATTATCACTTGATCCCATTAGAAACATGTCTCATTTTAAAATTTTAGGCACGTGTCACAAGTTAAACATAGCTTCATAAACTTAGATATGCGAGCATCTCATTACGATGGTTTTAAAAGGAGCTAAAAAATTCGATATTGCATGTTATTATAGACAGCACGATATATTTCTTGATTTTATTTTAGAAACCGCTAACGTGTTCAATTCAACAAAATGTTATGTGTTTACTTCTCCCTTTTCTAACAGTTAAAATTTCAGACGAATCATTAACACAAGCTTACTTGTACATCGTTAGGAAAATAGTGATTAAATTATGAAGTGACTAACGAAAAATATGCTTCATTTTAAATTTCTAAGCACACAAAGCACAATTTCATAAAGTTAGACATGTGAGCACTGCATTACGAATTAACAAATCTAGCCCCTGTTTGGTTCAGATTAAAATTCAAATTTTAATCAAAATCAAAATCAGCAATATCAAAATCAAAATCAGCAATTAATTTCAATCACATATTTCATAATTCTCACAACTTTTCAACCGCATATTTCATCAAATTGATCTCCACCGTACAGGAGACTAGCATGATTTGTATGGTTTTCATCATTGAATATTTCTTCAGCAATTGAAATGTAATGTAAAGCTGGAGTCCAATTTGATCCCTATTAAAGGTCATGAACCAATTTGTTACCAATGCAGGAGATTGAGGATCAAGTGAAATTTTCCCATAGTTTTTCATATGTTTCGGTACCGTTACTTGTTTATTCGTGGTGTTCAAGCCTGAGGATTTAAATTATTATTATTTATTTATTTATTTTGAAAAAAAACACTTCATTCAATATCAATATAACAAATTCCAGATACAAGGAGGAATTTCCTCCAACAGAATGCTCTCTTCAAAGAGTTTAAGTGCTTCATTTGCTAAAACATGAGCAACTACATTAACACTTCTAGGAACATGACGAATGGACCGGACCTGAAAAAAGCCAAGCAAGCTCTTCGTGTCCTGGATCAGTAGGCCTGAGTAGTTCCAAAACTTAAGATCGCCGTTTAGTCCCTTCACGACATTCAATGCATCCCCTTCTAAGATGACAGATCTCATCCCAAGATGTCTGCATAGTTTAACAGCTTCCATAGCTCCAATGGATTCAACCAAAAAAGCATCTGGGAATACCTTCCTTTGGGATATCAGTGACGCTTTAACACTTCCATTCCAATCTCTCACAACGACTCCAATTCCAATATGACAATTAACAGAGTTGACTGCTGCGTCCCAGTTAACTTTGTACTTATTCAGTGGGGGCGAAACCCAAAGTTGGGCAGCTTGATCTCCTCTAATTCTGTGCCTGCTCGGTAAGGAGTTCTCTTTCCTGTAGTCCAAAGCCTTTTGTCGAGCCGTATTTGCAACTGGTACTGGGTCACCAAATATACTCTCAAAAACGAAAGAGTTCCGCCTCTTCCAGATCAAATAGATCGTGGCTGTAAAAATTTCCATTTCTTCCTCTAACAATCTCTTAAATAAGTGGCTCACCAGTTCATTAAAATCCAATGGAATAAATTACATCTTCTGAAACTTTCGTGAACTTGAGCCCCAAACATCTTGAGCAGAAGTACACAACCACATGATATGAACTACGGATTCTTCTTCCCGTTTACAAATCGGACATAAAGGGCACTCCCTTATTTCCGTCTATACAGGTTCAAATTTGTGGGTAGGGATTCATGGGTCGCACGCCACAACAACATTTTACTAGCATTAGGGGCTTTTAATCTCCATATATTACGCTAGACATCATTCTGATTGTTACTGGTGGAGCATTGTCCCAGATTTTCAGTTTTCAACTAAGGAAATGGTATGCACTTTTGACTGTGAACTTACCATCCTTCGTGCCCCTCCATATAAGTTTGTCCGGACTTCCACAAGGACTGATAGGGATTCATGGGTCGCACGCCACAACAACATTTTACTAGCATTAGGAATTTGTCCCTCTCCCCGCCGTCCCCTCTCCCCTCTCTTCTCTCCTCCCCCCGCCGTCTCTTCTCACCACTCTTCTCTCCTCCCCCGCCGTCTCCTCTTTTCCCCTCCCCGTCTCTGTGCTCAGAAGATGTCGCCTCCATCTCCTCTCCTCACTCTTTTCTGCCTGAATTTATCTCCTATTCACAGTGTCGATACGGCGTCTATTTCCCTAGGTTCCCAGGGGAAAGATCCAGTTACAGATCCAACCGTCTGTCTTTTTTTTTCTTTTTTTTTAAAATTGATTGGTGTGACGGAGGTGGTGCAATGGTTGAGTTGGAGAATGCATATCTGCTTTTGTGATGGGTGCGGCGGTGGAAGTGGATGCAGATCTATTTTTTGGTGGGTGCGACGGTGGGTGTGTGCGTGGGTGCGGTGAAATGGTCGTAAACGGTGCAGAGACGTGGTGTGTGTGGTGGATCGGGCGTTGCAGATTGGTGGTCGTGGTTATTTTGTGCGGATGGCAGTGGGTGATGTGCATGGAAGGCTGTTGTTGTTTGATGTTGTTGGCGGCGGATCTATTGGTGGCGGTTCTGCTGTTAGTGGTTTGGGCTGATGGGTGGCGGTTAGGGTGGTTTGTGCGCGTCGGTGGTGATAGTGTTGTTTAGGTGTGTTTCAGTGCGTGCGGTGGTTGCGTTTATGTGCGATGGTTGGCTGTGTGCACGTATGGCAGGGGTGATTGTGCTGCGGATGACGGTGGTGAAGATGCGACAACGGTGGTGGTGCCGCTGATGGAGGCAGTGACGAAGTAGTGGTCACAAATGATTTGGTGGTGGTGACAAATAATTTAGTTGTTTGTGACCAATAATTTGGTTGGTTTGTGACGAGTGAATTAGATACCCGTGACCAATACATGTTGTGTGACTACAAATTATTAATTGGTGACCAATCATTTGATAAATTGTGACCTAAATATAATTTATGTTCAATTAATGTGACGTTTGTGACCATAAAATAAATAATGTGACTTTTAAATTTTTAAGTTGTGACCGATAAACTAATTGTGACCTATGTAATTATTGAATTGTGACCTAAATTTTTTTGATTGTGACCACATTGCATAGATCTGTGACCTTAATATATAAATATCCGACGGAGTTGGGATACTTGTCGAAATCGGAGCAGTCGCTGGAACGGTCATTGGAATAGTCGTCGGAGAAGAGTGGTGCAGCGATGAAATTTCATCGGAATAGTTGTCGAAATTGTCGCCGGAACGGTCACCGTAGAAGAGTGATGACCGGAAAGGTCGTCAGAATAGTCCCGGAGCTGTCAGGGTGGTGGATGTGGGGGTGGGTTTATTATTTTATAGTAGAATTAAATATTAATAATAAATTAATTTAATAATTATTATTTCATAACTAAAAATTTAAAGAAACCTGATTTTTGAAATTTGAAACATGTTTTTGTATTTTTGAAATATGTGAAAGTAAATGTCTGATTTATGTATTGTTCCCATATAATTTCCATATTAAAATTTTCAAGCCCATTTGCTCAGCCAAAAATCTGAGTAGAAGTTCATTGGTTAATATTTTTTCTTTAGGCTGTCGGAGAGAAATTCGAGTAAAATAAGGTATTGTCAATCGTTAAATAAATAACATTAAAAGTACATCTAAATATGCTAGCTAAATCCATACCATTCAATATTGGCACAATAGTAAACGAAGATCAACTATTTCACGTTTAGATTTCGAGTTAAAATATTTTTCAATGATTAATTTTAAATAACATAATTAATTTGGACAAAATATCAATTATGAAGGGTGGAATTGAATAGAAAGGGTAAAAAAGGGGGTTCCATGGCGTTTTTCCAAATTTAAAGCCCCAATGATCCTCTCTAAAACACTTTTCATGTTAGAAATTAGGGTTAGGGTTTTTCATTTCGACACAAAACCCGACAACTAAATCCCCAAATCTCTACTCTCTCACTCTCCTCGCCAATGGCAACCGAAGGTCCATCGAAATCAACAGAACAATCCCCCTCCGCCTCTGCCTCCGCCTCCGCCTCCGCCGCCGCGAACAGCAACAGTTCAGGGTTGAGAAAGCCGGTGTTTGTTAAGGTTGATTCTTTGAAGCCGGGAACGAATGGCCACACTCTGATTGTCAAAGTATTGAATTCCAACACAGTACTCAGCAAGAAGCCACGGAATGCGATGTCGTTCCGTGGGTCCCAGAACCAGAATACTCGTATCGCGGAGTGCCTCATCGGTGACGAAACGGGCACCATCCTCTTCACTGCCCGTAATAACCAAGGTGTGTTCGTCGCTCTCTCCTTCACGAACATACGTGTATTTGTATACATTTTCCTTTTTTGTGGACGTTGCTTGGTGCTAATTATTTGTTGGTGGGGAGATTGGTAATTGGATAAAAATGCTGATATATGAAATGTTTTTGCATTTATTAAACTGAACAAATTATGAAATTTTATGGAGGATGAGTATTTGCGATTCTGAATTATTTTTTATTTAGGATTTTATGGCTGAAACTGTACAAATTTGGGCACTTGCCATCTGATTTAGGTTTTGTTTTTGTTGGTATCCTAAGCTTTAAATTAGCGAGCATAGCTTTGCATTCAATTTCACTGTCAAATATTTGTTAAGGTTACAGAATACTGTTTTCTTTTCAGTTAAAGCTTGTCTCTTGTTCATTTCTAGACAGTCATCTGTTTCCTGTATAGGTGTCTTTCGTTCTGTTTCAAGCAATGCCAGAAGAGTAATAGGACAGAAAATGTTTTTCGGTTAAAATTTTCTTGCTTGAATTTTGTTTTCATCTAAATGCGTAGGGGACAGTACTGCTTGATTCATTACATAATAATAGGCCAGAAAGTGTTTTTAAATTTAATCCTCAATTATCTTGCTACTAAAGGCTTTAATAGGATTTTTTGTTGGTTTTTTGCATGGCTAAGTTCAGTTGCAACTGATTAACTGTGTTGAAGCCAGTAGAATAGAGCAAATAAATTTCAGGTCTTTTTTTCCGTTATGTGGATATGATAACAATAGGAAAATAAATAAATACGGAGTCACACACTGAAGTCATCTTTCCTCACTCTGTTTGTCCACAGCTACGTCTGCAGTCTACAGGAGAATCCAATGCAATTAACTTTTTAATGTTGGACATTTTACTTTTAGTCATTTGATCAATTTATTTTCCCTTGGTTCCACCGATATTAGCTTATGGTTTTGTTATCCCTTTTATCTATTTCGTTGCCCACACATCCATCTTACCAACTTTGTTTATGTTACATACTTACATTATCTTGTGAACTTTTTATTCTTTGACGGCCTCATACTCAATACAATAAATCAAGGTTTCTTGGTAACCGTCGTATAGAACTTTCCAACTTTCTAGGTATCTTTCTATCTTATTGCATACTTGTAACACTTCTTTATATTATTCAACCTATGTTACTACAATCTATTTTTCTCAAATCTTCATGAAGTTAGATCATATCTTTAACAAATTACACGCAACAGTTGATCCCATCTTGGGTATGCCCTGTAAGCTCATCCATGATTCTAAAACAATAAAGATTTAGGGTGAAATCTTGATCCAAGTCTATAATAATAGGAAATTTGTACTACTATATCTCACATTCTTAAGTTTGTGTATAAATACCTTAAATTGTTTATTTTCTAATAGCATATAACCTTTTACACCAATGTTTTGTTTTCCTTTTTTGGGCTTGACATGGAAAGAGGAGAATACACGATTGTAATATCAAACAATGAGAGGAAACTGATAGTGATGAGGATGATGTGAGAATCAAATATGTTTAGATTCTTTCAGAGATCTTATTATAAGCTTATTTCTATATTATTTGATCTATTTTATTGGTTTGTGCATATGTTAATACATCTTGAGGTTTATGGCTTGCTTCAGAAGGATTTTATTTTTTATTGTTAAAAACTGTGGTACCTTTTCACTTCAATGCCATTGGACATTTGTGTTACTGCATATGCTGTCGTAGCAAATTTATAATTTTTCTTGTTTTTGAAGCCTGAGATTTGTTGGATACGTAGCTTTTATGTTCCTCTAACAAGCTTCTCCAATCCGCCTGATAATGCTATAATGACCTGGAAACGAATTTAGCCCATGTTTGACCACCATTATTCAAAAACTCTTTTTTTCTACATGCTCATTTTCAAACGTACATTCACACAATAAAATATTATGGAACTAAACCCAAAACTTTTCCTTTCTTTTTAACCACATTTGTGTTACTTTTCACACTGATGCCTCCGTGCACAACAAGCACGATGGCACGATGGCGAAGGCATGAGCGTGCTCGGGAATACATAAGCTATTCATTTTTATTCATAAAACTTCCCTGTTTTTCTAATAATTATTCGATTATTTGTGTTGATATTTATGAAATTGTTGTAATTATGTATTGTATTTTTCGTAATTGGCAGAAAATTGGATTTAACCAGTCTTTTGTAATTCATCTGAACAAAAGAAAAGTTAAGGAAGGTTAGGGTTTAGAAACACTTCTCTATTTCATTGGCTTAATCTAAATAATTTGAAGAAGTATAGGAGGGAATATAGAAAAAACATAACTGAAAACGTACACCTAGCCCAAACTAAAAGAAAGAAAATAGACAAACATTGAAAGTATTCAGACAGCAAAACACAAGCGAAGCAATCATTTTCTTCGGCTTAATTTGAAGTATATCAACAGTAATTTATGAGGGAATATGAAATTTACATATCATCAAGATTTAATATTTCCATCTACTGATTTTTTTTTCTAGGGGCCGTATGAGGATGGGAAGACTGATGCTACCATTTCGTTTAATGACGATAATTTTGTTAAGGTTGACTCTGGGAAGATGAATCCTCAATTTGCATTCATGAGGTGCCTTTTTAGTTCGTTTTCTACTTCAATTTGTAAATTTGGCTGAATTGATTTGTTTTAATGAATAAAAATTAGTAGTTTCAATTTAAATGTGTTGGATGGATGCAGGGGTGCTATGAAGATAAAAGGGAGCATGAATGCGGCCCAAAAATTTACTCCAGACATTTTCTCCAAACCCTCAAAGATGTGAGCAATCAGGTCACAATGTACTAGATTATGTTCTAGCCAAAATTTCGCACAATGTATAGGAAGATAGCATTGTTATCAAGTCAGCACTTGTATCTTTAAGATGAAATAGATGTTTTCTTGCATGTCTTAGTACTGGACTGAAGGCATGCTTTTCATAAGTATTTCATGACACACAGCCCATTGAAAATGCATTTTTCGTGCATTTCCCGAATTCGACGCGTTTTCGACCCGCGTCAAGCCTAGGCGGCACAAAAAATGCGCATTTTAGAACATGGCTTAAAACTGAACAAGTGAGGAATCATGATTGAAAACATACGAGGTCTTGAAATTTACTCTTTATAAATAAAAAAACAATAGTAATGAATACATTAATGACATTAGTAAATATATAAAAAACGTATGAATAAGTAATGACTTGAATGTTTATATAAATCTGAGCCATAGACTCAATAGTCCATGATTACTTTATAGATTTAGATTAAGCTCATGTTTGGTAGGAATTAAAATCAGAGTTTTAACTAATTTTAATAAAAATTAATGAAATATATGGTCGAAAAGTTGAGGTTTATTGAGTAACGGTGCCAACTGAAAACCAAGAAAATCACTTATAAATCACTTATAAAATCTTGGAAGTCACGTTGATGGAAATTTCCTTCGATCAAGCACAGGTTTGCAACTGTTGTATTTAAACCACGTTATGTGGATTCTGATACGGATATTGGACATAGCCACATAGGTGCATGTCCTACCCCGTGGGGGTTAGTTGAAAATACTTGAATTCGAATGATCCATGTGACATACCCTGATCCAAGTGTCTAGTGTTCGATCACGTTTCCATGAGTCTGTATAACATATCATTTAAGTAGAAACATTCTATCTATACTCTTGAAATTGCAAATTTCATCTAAAAGTTAGTCTCACCGTTCAATTCTATACTGTAAATTACCAACATTAGTGTTATAACGTACTTGCCATGGGACATCAGTTTCTACCTATATATATTGACTGTACTGTGTTGGGATATGACGTGTTTATGGCATGCGGATAGAATGATAGATTCCTACGCTATAAGAATTTAGAATCTCATCCCCATGTAAGGGATGGGATCATCACCGTGCAGCTTTGGAAGCACGCAATCTACTAAGAGCCTGTCAAAGTCATGTAGAATGGGAAAATACGGTGCAGTGCATGGGAATGTGGTATTTCAAGACCGTTATCCTCACTAACTAAGCAACATATCAACAAGCTTCTTGTTTAATATGATCGTGTTAAGTGAGGGTGATAGGAGTGTGGAATGGAGTATATAACCACTTCACTGTTCCGCAAATCCATACAGTTGTTTTCTGAGCTTACATTAGGACATGTTTTAGAGAAAATAACTTTACTTTTCTGCTTACTTCAAAGTACTTGCTGTTTATAATTACATTGCTTGAGGCTCAATTAGTAAAGTTAAAAAAATCTTGCAGCACTGTTTTTAATGCTGCTAAAGTTACCAACAGCAGTTTGGATAGATCACCTGCGGATTACGAAGTTAGTGGAGAGGTAGAGTGATCTACCTTTTTGTTTCTGAGACCAAGGTCTAGGAGGTTTTTCAGATTTTCTAGAGGATAACTGAACAGGTGGAAATTAATCCTAATTTGGTTCTAATTTTCAAAATATTGCTTAAAGATTAAAGACAAGCAATAAAAAATGGTGATACAGCTGCTGCAAAGAAGCTTTTGAGTCAGGTACCTTTGTTATCTTTATCTCTTTTCTGTTCTCCTTTGTGCTTTAAAACTGTTGATAAAAAGCTGAAGACTATCAAGTAATTACTAGGGAGTGAAATCAAATTATTAAGACAGGCAAGGCTTATATCTTGTTACATCTGGTGCTCCATCTTTCTATCTCATTCTTATTAGCTAAGTATTTGCATTTTAAATGCCCATCACTCTACTTGATTTACTTGTGCAGACAGCTGTCTTTAATCAAACTGAGATAGCTTTTAGCCTCATGGACCACAGAGCAAGTTTGGATTGCAAAAAATTACAAGGTAAACAATTCCTACACCTGTATTGGTTCAGTGCATTTGTGAGAGAATATTTTGTTCCTAGCACTTGGTTCCAGAGGCAGTAAAAGATAAATGTGACGGTAGTCATCTAGCCATCTCTAGAGTGCAAAAATGCAACATGATAGATCAAATAATCTAACAAGCTGGAAATTGTGGCCTTCTGTTTGTTGTCTCTGGCTGCCTACAACAAGAAATGACCTTCAGTTTTTCCCTTTCACAAGACTTCTCTGGAGTGCAATAATGATATTGTCGATAAATTATTGTTCTAAATATTATCTTCTCTTAGTGTCAGTCATTAGAGTTCATTAGAGACATCATACCGCAATCAAATAGTTTTGGTTTAGAATGTGAGAGGGGCCGGGGGCACCATTGAGTTCAACACAACTTGTTCATGACCATCTTTCTGCTTTCTCTATGATTGTTATTCAGGTGAAACAACGTCAGATTGTACTCCTGCAACATTGCAATACAAGAAAGTATGCAATTGGACCCCTGGCATGCAACATGTGAGCGCATTTTGTTTCTGCATTAAACTGTGGAAAGCTGCTCTTTCATATGCAGGCAAATGAGCAAAATCAACTACAAGAATTGTCCATGCAACGGGTTTACAGCCCCCTCCTAGAGGGATCAGAAAAAACTGGATACTCCCTCCTGGTAGGACGACTCAAAGATGTTATATTTCTCACCAGTGGTAAAATTGTAGAAATTTGATCTAAATTATGTACCGTCTATGTAACGATCATATATGGCTGGGACACTACAAGAATAATCATACCTAGTTCGACCGATGTCTTTTCTTCTCCATTTTTTTTTCCTTGAAGTCTCTCTCTCTCTCTCTCCTGGTAGTTGGGGAGTGGGTGGAGGTGCTGTACATAAAACACAGATCATCTGCAATTTGCTCATTCTGGCTAAACTCTACTCAATTGTGGGTCCCGCATGTCCTTAATATCATTCTGGCTGAACTCTACTCAATTTAGTATTTACACCTCTAATATAGTGTAAACAGGTGTCCACAGAGTGGCTGGACCTCTACAAAATTGTTTCGGCCGAGCCTATTTGTTGGAGTGGAAGGGTGTCTGGCAAGTTGCACATGAATCTGATAAAGTATTCCAACCCAAAATGAGGCACCTCTTCTTTTTCTTTTACTTAAATGTCTTCTAAAGTTGATTTATGGTAGGATAAGCTTGTTATTTTCTTTTTGCCCTTTATGATGTGCAGGATAGTCATGATTTGTTTCTTGCTGACTTGCTGCCACAAGAAAGGTGGTCAAAAAGGTGGATTATGCCATCAGATCTGATGTGGAAAAATTCCATCTTTTGGACATTTGGTAATGTAGATTTCATCAAAATTGGCTTCCATTGGTGCAAACAAAAGTGCTCAACTGATTCCCAAAATCTTTACTAGTCAGCCTAGTTTTATATTACTGTGTATCGTGCAAAAAAGAAAATGATACGTTAACCACTATATATCTGTAGTTCTATATATACCTGCACTGGGCTTTTGAAGAATCCCCCTCTCCCCTTCTCTTGTAATTGCTAGGATTTTGATGAGTGCTTCAATGGTTGTGAGCGATCATTTTGTGCTGTGCAAAGCAGCTCTTATTTTTGCAGTGACTAGATGGCTCTTGTCCTTTGCTCTTAATCTCCTGAATTCGATGTCTCTATTCTCAGCTTCTTCAGATTCTTTAGCACAAACTTCCTCAAGAAGGAACCCGTCATCCTCCGCCAATTTGAAGATGGTTAAGGACAGTCTAAGCTCGACCACCTTCGGAAACATCCAACATAGGCTACCGGAAAACTGCGATATGTCCTGCGCGGTGTGTTTGAACCAGCTGAGGAAGAAAAGCCAGGTGTGGGAGCTCAGAAACTGTCGCCATGTCTTCCACAAGCACTGTCTCGAGAAGTGGCTATCTTATGATGGCTGCCGGTTAACATGCCCTCTTTGCCGGGTTTCTCTGCAACCTACGCCGCTACCGGAGCCACCGCACTGGGCGGTGGAGCGTATGCTATATCTATTTGGGGATGATCTGCTTCCCTGATCCTCGTTTGGACCTTTTTTACATGTCCCTCCTACTAACTATTCGTTAATTAGTAATAGTCTAGCATGAATTTAAATTACATTTTTGGATAGTGTTCTCTACTCTTATTGTTTATTTAGATCAAAGTTTAGTTCAAATAATAAAAGTGAAGTCGTATCCGATTATGAATTCGAGTACGAGTTCCTTTGGAAATTATGGTTGAAAAAAAAAAAAAAAACCTTCTAGTTAATATGATGCATATTATTGATTCTAAAGAAAAAGAAAAAGAAAAAGGAAAAGAAACTTTTTAACTTAATTTTGGGTAGAACATAAAGTTGTGTTCAACACTGTATATATAAACTATAAAGAAATTTGTGTGACCATTTCAACACTGAGCCATTGTTTTATAATCATTATTTTCAAACCCTTTTTTCTAAATACTCATTGATGTATTCCATCCGTCTCATAAAAATCATCATATTTCTTTTTTACATAAATTAAGAAAATTTTATTAAAATAATTGAAATAATAAATTTTATTATTATTTATCCTAACATATCCCAACACTAATGCAAAACAAAGCATATTAAATATGTTTATATTAGGAAATTAATATAGTAACTACACTCTTAAATAAGAAACATGA